AAAGTCCAAGCAAGAAGAGCCACGATGACATTGACAACACTTAATTACGGTAGGATCGACAGTGGTAATATTGATTGTGGTTGGTGTTATTTATTTTAGGGTTATTCACGATTTTTAACCATTTTTCTACTTTTTATTATATTATAAACTATAAACTAGATTGCTATATAATGATTTCATTATTATTCTAGTTGTCCGCCATATCTTATTTTTAATTTTAACCAGTATTACCTGACTTACTTCATTGCTGGAGAAATTACTATTACAATTTCTCCGCAAACCCTCTCTCGCAGAGGATAAAGATGCTTCCCCCTCGTATAACTATAATAAATATGTCAAACATCCGTTTTGAGATAAAAGGCAAACAATATCATTACCTTGCGGACAAGAAGAACCAAATTTTTCGTATTGATTACCAAAAAAACACCCAAGCCGGGCAACAAATTGTTCTCGATAAAATTTTAAGTCGGGATAACGAGTTTGGACAACCTTATTTACCAAATGTTCAATTAATTGCCGAAGTAATTAAACACGGCTTAAACAAAAAAATAACGGTCATGAAATACAAGCCAAAAAAAAGATACAAGAAAAAAATGGGGTATCGTCAGCAGTATACGGAGGTGAAAATTGTGGCCATGCGTGAGTAAATTACAACATTTTTTCCTAATTGGCATCAGTAATTTAGGAGTAGCCAAGGAATATGGGCCTTGTCCCCGCTCGCCGAAGTGTGGTTGTGATTGCTCTTTGTCCGAATGCATTTGTAATAATTACACCAAATATCGAGGAGAAATAACCGGAGGAGCATTAAAGTTAAAGAAGAAAAAAAGGGAGTAAGCACCCCAGTTGGGGGAATATCGCTTGATTTAGAAAAAGCTTGTGTTATTCAATAGTTCTATTTTTTTCTCAAAAAACGGTCCCACAAAAAAAAACTAGGTATATAAATTATACAAAAAATCAACCAGAAATTTAGGAGGGAAAAATAATTTTTTTGAGCATTTTTGTTTCCTCATTTTTTTCTCTTTTCGGCACACCTCGGACAAAAAATTTCTTCCCTTCACATTCCTACTCCTGACAACTTATAACGCCATGCCCGTCAATTGTCTCCTAATTTGTTTCACCAAATAAAAGCCCACATCTTAACCTTTTGTCCTGGTGGAATTTTTTTGCGGCAATCATAACAATAATAAATCATAATACTTTTTACTAAGCTTTAGTAAAATAAAATTATTCAAGAAGCAATTGAATAATTTTATTTTAGTTTCAAACGAATAAAATGAAAAGTAAAAACAAAATCCGCAGCGGTGCAAAATCTGCAATTGCTGCGGCAAGTCAAGAAAATCCTAAAATTATAATACTAATGGATAAAGCCCTGATTACGGATAAGACCAACGAGAAAGAAACCAATAAAGACAAATTACTAGCCAATTACCGGGCCATTTTAATGGTCCTAAAAATGCAAAGCCGTATGGGACAATTAGCCAAAACTCACCAAATTAAACAACTACAAAAACAAATTGCTCGTTTGTTAACCGAAAAAAATAAAAAATAAAGAAAAATGAAAAGAACCAAGCAACCTAAAAAAAAGAAAATCCAGCGAAAAATAGGATTTTTAGCTCGGAGGCGTAAGAGTTATAAGGTGCTGGCTCGTCGTCGTCAAAAGGGTCGTTGACAATTAACAGTGTAAAATATATACCTTCTACTTTATGAGGTTAAATAAAAAAACAGAAAACAATTTAGAAGAGTTTATTGAGATTAATGAAAAATTTGAGGCTTATAAAAAAACTCTGTGAGGGTTAATTATGGGTTATATTTTCTTTTACTTTTTTTGAACTGTTCTTTCATTCTTTGTTGTAAATAGAATAATTGAATTAGGCCACGCAAGGCAATGAGGAACGAACCTTATGCTTGCTGTTGCTGTTCCGGCAATAATATTAATACGGGGAGTACTTTTTTGTTTAGATGGAATAGTTACTTCTAAGTTAAAGTTTCCCTTGGGTCAAATATGTTTTGTTATTAATAATTGTAAATTGTTGGTTAAAAATGAAAAAGAAGCAATAATAGAAGATATTACCGAAGCTAACGAGCACTGTAAGGAAACTCTCAAAAAATTCGGAGCCTTGACAGTAGGTGATGAAGTAAGGGGTGTTTTAAAGATAATTCGCAAGACGGAGCAACCAGGAGGAAGCAATTTACTAATAGACATTTTATTGAATATAAGTTATGGTTTTCCGTTATATCTTGCCTATGGGAAAACCACCGAAATTGAAAAAGTCTTAGCAAAAATCACGAAGCGGTTAAAGGGTTACTTTCGCCAGGAAAGACGGAAAAAATATGAAGAGTTAGAAGAGCCAGAAATTACTAGCGAAGAAAGTGAAGAAGAAGAAAATCAATCACGAAAAATCAAAATTAAACCAAAAAGAAAAGGCAAAAAAGAAGGTAATATATTTATTTCCGTCCAGACTTAAAAAATATAATCTCGAGAGTGTAATTTCGCATTAGTCCTTAGCTTTTTTTTGGTTGGAGTTTTTAAGTTGGCAAGCCAAACAAAAATATTTTTTTGTGAACGAAAAACAAAACTAACCACGAATGATTTTGCCCCTTCACCTAAAAAATATTTCTAGAGGTTAAAGTTGGGTCAATTTAATTTTTTTCACCCGGCATTTTTTATACAAAGATGCTGAAAACTTAGTTCTTATAAAAGAAAAAACTTTTTTATGAATAACGCCCAAGAAAAAGAAATCATTTCCCGATTTACTGAAAATCTTAACCAGAAGGAGAGAATTGCTGAATTAACCATCATTGGTCGAGAAGAAGAAATTAAACAAATGACTTATGTTTTGTCCCGCATGATTAAAAATAACCCTTTGTTAATCGGTCCTCCGGGTGTGGGAAAAACGGCTATCGTGGAGGGATTGGTCCAAAGAATTAAACGCGGTCAAGTGCCCGATTATTTAAAAAACAAGATTATTTATCAATTAAATATGATGGCTTTAATGGCCGGCACCAAATTCCAAGGAGACTTAGAAGAAAGACTAAAAGCCATTTTCCGTTTCATGGGTCAACCGGAAAATAAGGCAATTTTATTTATCGACGAAATTCACTTGATAGTGGGAGCCGGCCGCAGCCAAGGAGCCCTGGATATTTCTAACCTCCTTAAGCCTCTGCTTTCAAGAGGAGAAATCCAGTGCCTTGGAGCCACAACCCAGGAAGAATACCGGAAATATATCGAAAAAGACGGAGCCCTAACCCGCCGTTTTAGTAATATTTACGTGCGTGAGCCCAGCGAGGAAGAAAGTATTGCAATTTTGCGAGGCAACAAAAATAACCTAGAAATCTACTACGAATTGAAAATTCAGGACGAGGCTCTGGTTGCCGCCGTAAAAATGTCTCAACGTTATTTAACCTCTGCTTGTCTGCCCGACAAAGCCGTTGATTTAATTGACGAAACTTGCGGTCGTATCCGTAGCGAAATGTGATACGAACCCGAAATAATTACCCAGACCAAGAAAAAATTACAAGAGTTAGAAATCCAGCAAGCCTCCTTTTTCTCCAACCAAGACAACCACTTAGAATCAACCGATTTACAACAAAAAATCGAACAACAAAAGCAAAAACTAACCGAATTAACCCAACAAGACCACCAAGAAAGCACCCGCATCCAGCAATTAAACCAAGCCAAAAAAAACTTGGCTCAAGCCCAAAAAGACCTAGAAAATTACCAACTAACAACCATCGACTACAACAAAGCTGGGGAAATCAAATACCAACTTTTCCCCCAATTACAAGAAAAAATCAGTCATTTGGAACAACAGGCCAGCCAAAATACTTTGCGAAAATACGCCATTAGTCCAGAGGACATTGCGGTAACTATTGCCAAAAAGTATGATTTACCCCTTGGTAAAATATTACAAGAAGAACAACAAAAACTCCTTTTTCTCCCCGGCCTTCTCGCCCAACGAATTAAAGGCCAAGACCACGCTTTACGAGTGGTCAGTGAGGCTATTTTTCGGGCTCGGGCTGGTATCCAAGACCCTAATCGCCCCTTAGCAGCTTTTCTTTTTGTGGGACCAACCGGAGTAGGCAAGACCGAAGTGGCTTTGACGATTGCCGAACAGCTTTTCGACCAAAAAAAAAATCTTATTCACTTGGATATGACCGATTTTTCCGAACCGCATTCAATTAGTAAATTAATTGGCCCTCCTCCGGGTTATATCGGCTTCGAGGAACCGCCTCGTTTAGAAATTGTGCGGGAAAAAATGCATAGCGTCATACTTTTTGATGAAGTTGAAAAATGTCATCCTGCAGTAATTAATTTGTTGTTGCAAATTCTCGATAACGGCTTCTTGACTCTGGCTGACGGACGCGAAGTTAATTTTCGTAATACTATCCTCATTCTGACTTCTAACCTCGGCTCGGAATTATATTTTACCACGGGAGAAACCGATGAACTAGAAGGAAAATTACACCACATATTAAAAGGTTATTTCCGACCCGAATTTCTTAATCGTCTCAACGAAATAGTTTTCTTTAACTCTTTAACTCCCGAAGTAGTGCGGGAGATTATTAGCAAGGAATTAGAATTATTTATTCGACGAGTAGACCAAGAAAAAAATATTAAATTACGCTACGACCAACAGGTAATTGAGAAAATATTTCGGGAAGCCTACTCACCCGAATACGGGGCTCGTCCAGTGAAAAAATACCTTGAAAAACAAATTGGCAGCCTAATTGCCCGGGGCATTATCGCCCAATTTTTAAAAAGTGGTGGTAATTATTTGTTAGAACTAGAAGCCGAGACCCAAGACATTAAAATTACTACTTTGTCTTTCCTCGGCGAAAGTAAAAAAAAATTGTGTATGTTTCCGCATTAATCAAAAGCACCCTGCAAGTTCCTACGAGTGAATAAGGTAAGTTTAATTACTCTGTGCGGAAAAAATTTTTCAATGTCTTTATCCATCAAATTCCTTTAAACTCTAGCAAATACAAAAGGTTAGCCCGACAATAATTTTGCACAGTGCAATAAATTGTTTTTAAATACTATTAACTGAAAAATAAAAAATGATTGGCTTTTTTCGCTTGGTGTAAATACTATAATTGCCAGAAAAAATCCAATAAATTCTCACATTTTAATTATGGACCCTCAAACAATTAAAAAATCAATTTTTTTACCCCGAACCAATTTCCCCTTAAAAAACCTCAATCCCCAAAACACGGAAGAAAAAATCCGGGAGTTTTGGGAAGAAAAAAAAATTTACCACCAATTATTAACTTGTAACCAAAACAGTTCTTCTTTTATTCTTCATTCTGGTCCTCCTTATGCTAACGGTAAAATTCATTTGGGTCATGTTTTAAATTTCCTGATTAAGGATATTATTGTCCGTTGGCAGGCTTCAGCGGGTCATTATACTCCCTTTCTACTTGGTTGGGACACTCATGGTTTGCCTATCGAACACAAAATGCTGCAAGTTTATCCGGAAAAAAAAAATGATTTGCGACCACTTTGCTATCAATTTGCCTTAGAACAAGCCCAAATCCAGCGTGAACAACTAGAAAAATTAGGTCTTTTTACTGATTACAATCAATACTATATTACTCTTGACCGCCGCTACGAAGCCGAACAACTACGAATTTTCGGCGAAATAGTAAAAAAAGGACTAGTTTATCAAGGTTGGCGACCAATTTATTGGTCGTGTAGCCACGCTACGGCTTTGGCTGAAAATGAAATAGAATATTACGAAAAAAAAGCTACTTCGCTTTATTTTAAAATTGCCTTGTCGGAAAAATTTCTCGGCCGAGAAAATGTCAAACTTCTCATTTGAACGACCCAACCCTGAACCATTCCGGCTAACCAGTTAGTTGCAGTGAAAAAAAACGTTTCTTACGCTCTGATTGAATATAACAACAAATATTTAATAACTTTGGAAAACAAAACTGCTCTTTTAGAAAAATGGTGCGGGGAAAAATTAAAAGTAAAGGAGATATTTTTAGGCGAAAAATTGCTAGGATTAACTTATTTTCATCCTTATCGGAAAGACACCCGAGGGTATATTGTTGATGGCAGTGATTTTATTAAAGAGGGAGAGGGAACCGGTCTCGTTCATTTAGCACCTGCTTTTGGGGCCGAAGACTTTGCCGCAGCCCAAAAAGAAAATTTACTAGTAGATTGTCCGTTAGAACCTAATGGTCTATTTAACCAAAAAATTATGGTTTCCGAATTAATTGGGAGGCATTACACCGAAGTTAACCAATATGTTATTACTGATTTGGAAAAACGAAATTTAATACTGAAAAAGGCAGAAATTACCCATAGTTATCCGCACGATTGGCGTGATAAAAGCCCCTTAATTTACCGACTGACCCAGCAATGATTCATTAAAGTGGAAGTGCTAAAAAAAGAGTTGTTGGAGAACGTTGCCAAAGTTAAGTGGTATCCAGGTTGAACGGAAGAAAAAATGAAAGCTGTCTTGATAGCTCGGGAAGACTGGTGTATTTCTCGGCAAAGAAGATGAGGTGTGCCTATTCCCGTTTTATACAATAATAGTGAACCAATGCTTAATTATAAAATTATTGACTATATTGCGAATATTGTCGAAAAAAATGGTTCTGATGGCTGATTTGACGGCAGCATTTTGCCAATTTTGCGGGAAAAATTTCCGCATCTAGTTACGAGGGAAACAGTTTTAGGACGGGATATTATGGATGTATGGTTAGATAGTGGAGTTTCTCATTGGTGCGTTTTGCAAAAAGAATTTAAAAGATTAACTTAAAATGATTTTAAGTAACTTTTATGCCAGAAAGAAATTATTACGAAATACTAGAAATAAATCGGGATGCTTCGGAAGCAGAAATTAAAAAGGCTTATCGTAAATTAGCCCTCAAATTGGCATCCGGATAAATCCTAACAATAAGGAAGAAACAGAAGCAAAATTTAAAAAGATTGTTGAGGCTTACGCTGTTTTGTCAGACTCCAAAGAAAGGAATCGGTATGATAATTAATCTCACGTCTAAATTTTCTGTATCAGAAAATTTTACTTCTTACTACGATTTTGATAAATTGTCAAGTCTTGTTTGAGGAAGAGTTGGCGAAAGTAAGAGATGATGGAGAACGAAATATGCGAGAGTTGGAAAAAATTGAAGAGATGATAAGGAACATCAGAGAAGGAGAGAGAAAATTAGCAGAGATGGAAAGATTAAGCGCGGAAAAAATAGAGAAGGAGCAATTTGTGGAGGAGAGGATTGCAGAGATATACAAAGAAAGCAGAGAAAGTTCTCAAAAAAATGAGGAAACTTTTCAAGGAGAGGAGTCTGGTGCGGAATCAGAGTTATCAGGATGAACCGTTCTAGATGGCTCAAATGAATATTTGGGTTTTAGAAGTTGCACGAGGAAGAAAAGAAAATTTGTTGTTTCATGGTGGTGAATTTCAACACGAATATGATGATGACGGAAATTTAGTCGATTACGGTAAATTTCATTTTCAAAGTGGTTTTACTAGGGAACGGCTGGAATATGTATTTCCAGGTTCTCAAAACCAAAATTAAAGCCTCGTCTGCACAAAAGTAGTCATCATAGTGGTTTTTTTT